CCAAACCGAGAAGAAAGACACTCATGAGCCCACTGTGTCTTCTGTTTGTCCCATGGCGTTGTTTAGCACCATTACTCACACCACAGACCAAGATGACACAGCCACTGTCTAGTGCTGACTCATCCTCCGCTTATCTCCCCAGTGTCTGGTGTGTGGATGGGCGTGTCCTTCCCCCGACCGATGGAAGACCCTCTGTGGAGAGAGACCCTCTCCCTTTGTGGCTCCGTGAGCTACAGTGATTGCATAATGGTAGCTGCCTGCCCGTTCAGAGCTTGTCTCCAACACCTCATTCCAACAGGGTGTATTTTTGGGGGAGGGTGTGCACACCACACGCACAGACAAGCCCACACACCCCCACGTCTAGCCCCCACATCTGCTCTTAGTGGTCTCATTATTTTGCACACCTTCCTATCTGTCCACCAGGCACATGAGCAAACCCGAATAGCCCTTTATTTCAGAGTAGTGTCCACCAGTCCATGCAGAGGCCTACGGGGGAGGGTTCTGCTGAAGTGCCTCCCCTCCATCCTCTCACCCCCTTGTTCTAGGGGGGCCCTCACAGGACCCTCCTCTTGCTGGTCACAGGGAGACAATCCCTCCCGCTTGGGTCTCTCCTGTCCCCTCTCTCTTATGGCCACTCAGGCCCTTCATTCCCCTCCCTTCTGCAGGACCCTGACCCTTTGTCCCACGACCACCAGCTTGTGTTGTCAGCTATCTTGATCCATCTGTTCTCACTCTAAATGTTTCCAGAGCAGGGGAGTCAGACTTCAGCCCCACAGATGTGGGTCTTCAAGACAAATGGTCCACACACGTTGCCGCGACGGGCCACCTAGCAGCATAGAGCAGTGTGGGGTTATGCTCAGAGCCTCTAGCTCTCTTCACGTTGAGTTCTGTGCCCCATGTATCACCCTGGCATTGGTATATGCCAGGGATACAGGTGTTTGCCAGGCCCCAGAAAGGGGAATGTGGGCAGAGTGGGAAGAAAGAAAATACCCATCCCCCAACATGGGGACACCTGGGCATGGTGGGCACGCCAGCCTGCCCAGCTCATCTGCCCAGTCTCCTGGGTCTGAGCACGAGGTATGTGATCCTCCTGAGAGGGCGTGGTTTGAGAGACTTGTCCCACCCCTCCAGAGGAAGGAGGGGCAGGAGCACTGAGGCATGTTACCACCACTGGACTGAGAGATAAACACCCTCCCCAGCCTATAAAGCTCCCCCACCCACGAACCTTCTCCTCCTTGAAAGCTCTGTAGAAATTCCAGGCACAGCTGGGACAGGAATGGAGGGCCCAGGGGGACCAGGGGAGCCCCCTCTGGACTTGTTCCCCTGAGATGCTCCCCCAGTTCCCACCATCGAGTCCATACCCCCTGGACCCTGGTGCTCACCATCTCTGAGCACACCGTGTGAAGAAGGGCCCTGGGACAGCTGTCAGCCCCATAGCCAGGGAACACCATCCTCTCTGCTCCCTCATTTCCATTCCCACTAAAAGGTCCCAGAGTGAATGCCAATTTCAATCCATCAACTTGCACTTCAGCTGCACCACCTGTGTGGATTGCACCCCATTCCCATAAAGATGCAGTTCCTGTCTTGGAAGCACATGGCTTCAGGGCCCCTTTGACATGAGTATGGACACTGAGGCATGGCCGTGACACACAGCACAAGGCTAACCTGCCTTTCCATCAGGTAGCTCAGTCATATTAGGGGCCAAGACATCTTCTTGTGATGGGGGCTGGGGGCGTAGAGAAAGAGACATGTGTTAGAGATATGGCCTCCACAGTGAGGACTGACCCAGCTGCTGGGTGCTCCTCCAACAGCCCTAGGTCTGACAGGCTGTTTTTATGTTGATAGTTAACGTTTTATAGATATTTCTCCTGCAGCAAGTTAAATCGCATCTGCTCCGGCAGACATCCAGGCCCAGGGAAGGCGGGCAGATGGAGGGGCCAGGCCTGAGGCTCTGGCGGGCAGGTCTTCCTGCTGTAAAGCTCTGTGTCTAATAGGAAATGCGGGGGCGGGAGGAGGGGTGCAGCCTAGGTTCCTTCTTTTATAGTCTAAGAACCTCTGATGACTCAGCCTTTCTCCCCATCTTTTCATGGACTCTGAGTCCTGGGTCTGGACAAAACCCCCCTCTGTGAAAACAGCAGTTAGAGTTTATCAGTCTGTTGCTTGTACAACCAGGCAGGCAGGAAGATGGAGAACCTCACCACCAGCTATGAAGGCGCAGGGGATGTAGGAACCTGACTGAGCAGGCAGCAGAGTTCAGGTAGTGGGTGGGGAGCTGGTGGGGAGCCCAGCCACGGGACCCCCATTCCACAGGACTGGTGGTGCTGAGTGGATTACTGCCAGAAGGTTGGGTCACGGAACATGGGGCACAAAGCAGGACAGAGACCACCGAACTGGGCCTGAGGTGAGCATGCTGCCATTCTAGGTCCTTCAGCTGCCAGCACAGTGAGCTTTGGTGAGGCCACTTTGTTTCATGGTCACCCCCTGCTGTGGTCCTGGGCTACTCAGTGAGATGCTCAGAGACCTTCAACACACATCTATGGGACATGTAACTAGCGCCAGCCTGTGTATTAAGTTCTAGGGCTGCAAGATAAATAAAAAACAGTGCCTTTCCTGAAGGACTTCCTGGTTGTAAGGGAGCAGGGTTAGCAAATAGACGGAATGATTATCCAAGAACGGAATGCATAGCTGGTCTTGGGGTCACAGAGAGGAGGCCCCCAGCCTTGCGGTGAGGGCACAGGGCACAGACAGAGGGAGGGCAGGTGTGGATCCTGCAGGGACCGCCATTACCTAGCCCAGCATCAGCCCATGGCTCCCGGGCCATCCTTACTCTCCCCACCCCTTTCTGGGGAGACTATTGTGGCCAACAGCCAACAGGAAAAAAAAACACCACCCTCCCTCCCTCTCTGTGCTTCCCCCAGAGAGCTTGTTTCTGGTCTGGGGACGCACCCCCCTTTCCAAGGAACCAGCCGATTGGCTGGGCTGGGGTGACTAACTCTCTGTACCTCTAGAAAACCCAGAGTGGCTTGGCTTAGCTAAACAGAGCTCCCATCAGGTAGTGGCCAGGCTACCTGTCACGTGACCAATAGTCACTCGCATGGGCCCAATTTTCAAGTCACATGTATTCCATTTTACTGAGTGCCTACCATGTGGAAGGTTTCATGCTAGGTGATGCTTACAGCTTCCCATGAAGGTAGGCAGGGTGTTGGGTTATTATCTAATGCTGCGTAGTCACCCCATACCTTAGTGGCTTAAAACAACAGCTACAATTGATTTTGCTCTTGAACGTGTGAAGTGAGCAGAGCTTAGCAGGGCTGGCTTCTCTCTGCTCCAGTTGGCATCAGCTGGGGCAGCTCAGATGCTGGGAGCAATAGTCATCTAAAGGCGCTCACTCGTGACTCCTGGCTGGGAAGACCAATAGCTGGGGGCAGGAACAGCAGGGATCCTTGCACAAATGTCTCTCTCTGCCTGTCATCACACCCGCTGTCTCTCCAGCACCATGACTTCTGGGTAGCCAGACCTATATGAGACCTCAGGGCTCTAAGAGCAGGCGTGGAAGGAGCAGGTGACAAAAATGCCAGCAGATGTAGCTCATTCTTGAGCACACCTATGACACTGTCGGGGCGGGGGTGACCCTGCACTGCACTGAAGTGCTATAGTGGTGTGGAATGGTGGAGGGTGGAGTAGTCAAGCTCGTGTGGCCTTGTGTGTACCCAGAGCGTGGTGGGGGCTGAGAACTTGGGCCTCACTGGGCACACTGGCTGAAGTTTTAATAGAGATATGCAGGGCGCAAGTGAAGTTGGAAAGAGCGAGATGCTAAACTTCACATTCAGTTGGGAAGTAACAGAAGGGCTGAGACACACAAGATAGATGGAAGTCAGGTCATTCCAGGCGGAGGAAATATCGGATTTGGTGACATGAAAATGCTCCACTCTGGGTACGGCCACTGTAAGGTTCCAAAAGGAATATCACAGGACCCTGAAAGGACTTTCTGTGAGATTCTCTGGGTTGCTGTAGGGGTAACGGTGGCATCACTGTTGGGCTGGCCTTCTTCTGAGGGTAGAAAATGTCCCTAAGGGCCAGCATGGACATCCTCCAAAGAACAACTTTATTCCCAGTACGAGAGATGGGGAAAAGTGAGACCAAACTCCCAATAGTGAACCAGGGAGGGTCAGGCAAGCAGAAGGAGAGTCAGCCTGGGACTGGACTGAGGGCTATCAAAGTGCCCATGGAAGACAGGCCACAGGCCTGGGAGGGCGTTGCAGCCCTCTGAGGGAGAGAAAGGGCTCCGCGTCAGACTGGGCGTGGCCTGGGCTGATCTGAGAGCCCTCGGAGCAGGTTTAAGCAGCGGGAGCCCACCTGTAGGTACCTGTGCACCTGCCTTTGGTGTGTTTGTGTCCCTAGGGCTCTCTCTTGGGGCTCAGTGAGGGCCTGGGAGTCTCAGTCTGACATTGCTGCTCAAAAGAGTCAGAGAAAAGGTTACCACGCCTTCCTCATGACACCCAAGAGTTGGTGCCAGGGCACTGGGGCACTGCTGCCAAACAACCCCATGTCTATACAGGCTTGCCAAAAGTAGCAGGACCATGGCTCTGACTCACGTTTGCTTTCTAGAGCTCTTGTGAATGCATTGACTTGGCAGAATGGACTTCACCCCCAAAGCTCTAGCTGTAAGGGAGCCGATAAATAGAGTTTTATTTCTCACCTCTAGTAAATGGGAAGGCACAATAGGAGGTGGAAATGGATGCTGACAGTCTAACAAATTGTCAGCAAATCTGACACATTAAACCTGCATTTTACAGATGGAGACATTGGGGCTTAGCGAGGAGAAGCATTTGAAACAGAGCCATCCTGCCAGCAACTGGCAAAGCCAGGACTTAAACCGGTGGGGTGCTGGCAAATGTTTAAAAACCGATTCTCCATGTGCAGTTCCAATACGAATGTTGGTTGATATTTCTCTTTATGTTAATGAATAAAACAAAAGTAAAACAACAAAGGCGTAAGTTGGAGCTTCTCTCTCTCTTCAGTAACAGGAGGGACTTTTTTGCTGAATCAGGTCAGAGCTTTCAAATACAGTGAGTATTTCCTTAGGTTTTGTGGGGGTTTTTATGATTTTCACTACGTAATAACTACAATGTGATAACCACACACAAGCTGTACCTGCCTCATTAACATTCTCTCTGTTGCTTTCTCACATCTAGACCATCAAGAAAACAATAAATCAAGCCATGGTTTATCGTGTTTGCCACTTTCCATGGTGTAAATATTCCCGTTATGGCTGATTTCAAGCTGCCAAAGTGATGTCGCCAAATAGAGAGTTGGGGACAGATGTGCAGTGCACACTATTGTGTAGTATTTCCATGTACAGGCACAGTGGATGTAAATAACCTCAGAGCATAGATAGTGGTAAAATAATTAGGGAGCAGCGATTTTTTTTTAACATTTATTACCTTTGTTTTTAATATGAGTGATTCAGTTATAAAGTTATTTAATGTGTTAAATAAATTTTTTGCTCCCAAAATCCTTGAAAATTTAACAATCAGTTCTTGTGAGGTGTACAAGCCGGTACAGGACACCACTGATTTAATCCCGGGAGCTTGGACATGGAAGCCCATACTCTTAACCACACTCAACACAGCCAAACGTACCAGAGGTCTGCAGGGAGTAAGCAGTGGAGGTGAGATTTTAAACTAGCCTGACCCCAAAGCCAAGTTCTTACTCATGATCATTTGAATAATTGTCTGCAATGTTTTGCTGTACTTCTGGGAAGCGGTCCCATTAGCCATTGGTGGACCTGATGGAGAAGAGGAGGAGAAGCGAGGAAGTGGACTCAGAATGACCTTCTGGGCACTACTCCGCTGGACCGCAGGCACCATCCAGCATTGTTCCCTCACTGCAGAGTGGCAGACCCGCCCAGCGTCACACACAAAGTCTGGGGTGGATTTGGAACGAGAGCCTAGCTCTCCTCAATCATTCCCAGGCCAAGGCGTGTCCACAGCTCTGTGCCCAGCGGGGAGCGACCAACAGGAACCACCACTCTAGGTAGACGCACACTGAAAAAAGCTCCATGAGACACACTGGGGCCAGAAACAGCCCGAGGCCTGCTGTGGGCCCAGGCCTGTGCAGGGCCCTGTGGGGGCACCGCCATTGTAAGGAAGAAAGCAGCGATGGACCAAACAAGCCCTACTCACAGCTGCATTGTCCAATTCAGCTGCCATTAGCCACATTTGATGGTTTATATTTAAATCCATTAAAATTAAGTGAAACTTAAAATCCAATTCCTTAGGCACAAAGCCACATTGCAAGTGCTCAGTGGTCACGTCTGGTTAGGGGTGATGGTATTGGATAATGCAAATATAGAACATTTTTGTCATTACAGAAGAGTCTACTGACAGCACCGGGCCTACAAGGAAGCCAAAGCCAGATGTGGAGGAGTGGTTCTTGAAGGGAGAAGGCCTTGAAGGACCAGCTACTGTAAGCAAGACCCCAGCCCCAGCTCCAGCCCCACACCTTCCTCCTTCCCTCTCCCAGCGCCAGCCCCAGGCCTGAACACGTTCTCAGGCTGCCTGACCTGACCGAAGGCCTGTCTGAGGCTGTCTCTGCTAGCCAGGGGTGGAGTATGGGCTTGTGGGGACTTGCAAGGAGCTGACCAGGACAACAGAAATCTAAGCTCGGGGAGGGCGCTCGCTGGGGGCTGGAAAGGATTCCGTGGGCTTTTCAGAAGCCACTCACCTTTGTCTTAATGATTGGCCCCAGGAGAGGGGCGGCCGCTGCATGTTTGTTTCTCGGCATCTTTGATGCACCTCGGAGCCTTGGCGAGCCTTTGATGTCCGAGGATGTCCCCGGCCACGCTTGCCATGTGCTGTTTGCTCTGGGGTTTTCCTTTTATTCATTTTTACATTTGTCTCATTAAATTGGTTCTGTAAAGGGCAAAAGAAGGAACCCAGCGGAACAGAAATGCTGTATAGTTTATAGGGGAAGGATTGGTGGGAGCCCATTTGTGGCTGGCGGGGTACAACTGAAAGTCAAGTTCTGCTCTCCACCTCACACTTCAAGGCTTCAGTGTTTGACAGTTAAAATCTCCTGGAATCTTTATAGAACCCATGCATACTTCTGGTGGATGAACATAAAACCCATATGCGATCTTAATGGAATCCGTGTAGGAGCTTCATAGAATCCTTTTAGAAGCCACATAAAATTCTCATAGAAATAACAACAACAACAACAACAACAAAACACCCTCATAGAATTCACCAGACTTCTCGTAGAAGCCTAATCCCTCCCTGCCCCCCCAACCCCCCTGCCTCCACCACACACACACACATTAACTCCTGTCCCCCTCAATGGAAAAAGCAAGTCACCTTGAACTCAACCTCCTTTCCTCAGAGAAAGGCGATTTGACAGATCTATCTCACATGGAAAGGTAGGGGCTGGAGACACCCACTGCCCAGGGTAAGGAGGTAATGCAACTTTTTGTGGCCTGACCAGGGGAGACTTCCCTTCAGGCCCCTTGGGAAGAGGGGAATCATTTGCATAAGGATTCCAGGGCTTCCAAGAAGAGAAGGGACTCTAACCCCTATAAGAAAGCTCATCATGGTGGCCTAGGTGCAGTGCCCATTGGAATATGAGCCCCATGAGGCAGGGGGTCTGGTTTGTATTGCTTATGTGTGTCCTAGCACCTACTCCTGTGCCTGGCATGTAGGTCCTCAGTAAGTATTTGTTTAGCAAATAAAAGTATGAAGGTAGCTAGCAAGAAAAGACTCCAGGGCCGGCCGAGTGGCGCAATGGTTAAGAACTGGCTTGGGACGCCAGAGGGCCCCGGTTCGGATCCCACATATGAGGGCCAGTGACACTGCTCCCCTTCCCCCAATTCCCCAGCACTGTTCCTATCCCCCCAATTCCCAAATAAAAATCTTAAAAAAAAAAAAAAAAGAAAAGACTCCAAGGGCCCAGGAGGGTACCTACCAGCAAGACAGGGCAAACAGGAAGCCAACACAAGGGCTCGGCCAGGCTCTGGGCATTAAAGTGGACTGGTTAGGGGTCCGAACAAAGGAGGCCTTCCTGTTGGATAGACAGAGGGAGACCCATCTAGGGGGGACCTCATCCAGTGGAGAAAAGCCAAGGAACGGGGTTCTGGGAGCACCCGGGGAAGGTCTGTCTTGAAGGCATGCTGGTGGTGGGTGGCCAGGAATTCACAGGCCAGTCTCCAGCCTGTCCAGCTGTGTGGGGAGAGACAGAGCTCAGGAAGGATCATGTCCTTTTCCTTGTGTGATCTGGAAGGGGATTCCAGTTGTTTTTTTAGTTTCATCTCAAGCAATATGGCTTGCTTTCATTCTTCTGAGTTGCACTTTGCAAGAAGCCCCCAAATTCAACCTCCAGGAACCTGGTAGAGACTTGTGGAGACAGGCTGTCACCCAGAAAGCCTGGCTGTGGACTTGGCTTATCAGAGGGGAAAGATTCTGCCTCTTTCAGGCAGAGGGCAAGACTCCTTTCCTGGGGGCCCTGGGCTCTAAGAAGCCCCACGGGAGAAGCAGCGGAAGAACTCTGTGTGTCTGTCAGCCTGGCTGTGTGGGGGTGATGTCACCTCCACTCTCAGCAGCTCCCTCTGCACCCCTGGGCCGAGCCCCAGCTCTGCGCCCTTCCCTAGGCATGGCTGAGAACGGACAAGGAGCACTCGGCATTTGGGAGTAAGTTGTTTCAGTGACGTAGGAGCAAAGTAGGCCCTGGATGTATGTTTGAAAAAGAAGGTTGGGAAGAAAGACTCGCACGCGCACACACACACAAGGAGTTTCAGGCCAGGCTGATTCACCTCTAGCCCAGAATTATTTTACAGCCAACACCGAACATTCTACTTCTGCCAACATTCAAATTGGGGTGACTGGAAGGGACTGTTAGAACGTAAGTGGGCGCAGAAACCATGTCCAGGTCACTCCCAGGCCTCCCTGTGTGCACAGCCCCTGCCCCATGTGCGCCATGGCCTTTGGGAAGCAGGGAGGCGAGGGCTGGACTTCTTGGGAGACTGAGTCGCCAGGTGTAACCTCAGCAGCAGTGGGAGAAAGACTATCAGAGGATAAGGAAGAAACAAGTGGGAACATGTCACGGCGTGGGGTTGGGGGTCAGCTTGAAACCCAGGGGGTGGGCAGTTTCAGCACTGGGGGCGGTACCTGTGGAGGTTATTGAGTAAGGGGATGATGGCTTTTCAGACACATGCACTAGGAGGGTTCTGTTTAGGGAAATCAGGTGTGTGCCTGGCTCGGTCTTGGTTTTCCTGGACAGTCCTGGTTTCTGCCTGCTATCCAAGTTAACTCCCCATTACACTAGTTCTGCTTACTGGATATTTTATGATATTAAGGTATTATGTTTAATGTTTTTAAGATGATAATAGCATTGTGATTATAGTTTTTTCTTAAGTTCTTATCTCTTAGAGATATATACCTCAGTATTTATAGATGAATATTGCCCTAGATTTGCTTACAAATAACTGGAGGGGTGAGCAAGGAGTGGGTGGGGACAGAGATGAAATGAGACTGATTGAGTTAACAGTTATTGAGGTTTGGTGTGGGTACAACGGGGGTTCATGACACTAGTTTCTCTATTTTTCTATTTGTTTGAAGTTTTCTGATATAAAACATTTTAAAAGTTTATAAGGAAAGTGTCCCAAATTAGACAATAAATGTGGTCATGCTAGTTCAACCGCCAGGAGGAATTTTGTCCCTCGGGGACAGCTGGCAGTGTCGAGACATTCCGGGTTGTCATAACTGGGAATGGGGGCATATGCTACCGTCACCTTGTGGGTATGGGCCAAGGACACTGCTAAATGCTACAGTGGATAAAGCGGCCCCCACAACAGAGCGTTATCCAGCCCCAAGAGTCAGAAAGGCAGAGGTGGAGGAAGCTAGGTTACTGGGCTTGTCTGCGATTTTGTATGAACAGGAGGGATGGTGTGTCTGTGTGAATTCGCCGTAATTTATGCTCTCGGGGTGATTGGTTAACCCTGGCTAACAAGGGCTTCAATTTAGTTATCTAAATCTGCTTCCCCAAATTCATTACTTAGCATAAAAGTTATTCTAGATAACTGGTCGTTGGTGAAGTAAGTGATGTCCAAGAAATGTGTATGGCTAGGAAAATGGTCTTTGCTTGAACAAGACAGAAGAATCCAGCAAACCTGGCTGCCTGACACCCAGGGTCCAGTGCTCTGGGCCTGTTCCCATTTGGTTCTGGGCCCCTCTCTGGGCCCAAACCATGCCCCCAAACTCTGATAGAAGTCTCTGTCTCCTGGTCCAAACAAAACGTGGGTTGGTCCGGCTGACAGAACATAGGCTTATCTTTGGGGCGCTAAACTTTCATGCCAGTGCTTGTTGGCACACCTAGGGACAAAGAAAGGGGATGCCTCCAAGCTTAGTGGAAGGGGTCAAATGACTGTTTTGTGCCTACCTGTTAAAAATACGTCACTGTGGCAGCATCTGATCCGAAATTTGCTTTCATTGTAACATACCTCCTTGTAGCAAGGGCATCACCTCAAGACTCATAGCCCCCACCTAATCCTTGGGGACACCAGTGTTGACTTGAGAACCTGATAATCATTGAAGGGCCAAGCTGGCTGAGATCAGGAGGATAATGCTGGTGGTGTATGCAGAAGATAGATTAGAGAGATTAGACCTTTCCCACTTCCTTCAGGCTCTTCCTAATGTCTTCCACGTACCTCCCTGGCATCAATACCGTGTAAGACCAGGGTCTTACCCATGTCTCGCAACACCTACATCTGTGGCTTCAACCAGGGGCAGGAGTGGTCTGCTTGTGCCCAAGGCCTCCAAGCCATGGCCGTAAACATGCAGGAGAGCTGTGTGGCCTGCGCCTGGCCTCTGGGGCTGGAATGCATCATGGTGGCCAAGATTGGTTTTCAGTTTCCTTTCATCTGCCTCCAGCTACAACCAGGCAGAAACAGGCTGCCTTGGTGTCCTGGAAAGCCAGGGGGCCACACTTCCTGCCCGGAGCTGGGCTCCCTGGTCACAGGTGGTGGCCATGCCTTTAGGGGCAGGGGGACAGCCAGTGAACGGCAACAGCAACTGGGAGGGGCCACTAAAGAAGCCTTATTTTCAGTCACCATCAGCTCAGGAGAAGTGAGATTATCAGAGCACATTCTGAGAGCCTATTTGGCTAAAGAGAGGTGGGGATGCTGGGGGCATTGTGCTTTTGAGTGGGGGAAGGGGAGGCCATTGCGGAGAAAGAATGTTGGCACACGGAGAGAGGTAGGGGCATCCAGAGAGCTTTCTAGAGCTGCCATGAGATGAACTCCACTAACACCACCATTCTGAGGAGGGCTATTGCTGCCCTAGCCAGTGCTACACACTTGTGCACTTGCACGTGAGCGTGCGCACGTGTGCCTGGGCTGCATTAGTTGGCCTCATGGCCTTTTCTTTCCCAGGGTCTCAGATTACATGTGCGACATGGATTTTTCCTAGCAATTAATCCCAGGGTGTGCTGAGTCCCATGGGGCCCCCAGGATGCTCCCAGCAGCCCGGGGACAAGCTCCTTGACTCCCAGAACTCTCCCTCAACGTGCACCTCTGAAAGAGACAGAAGGCCCCGCCCCGCGGAGGGCCGAGACCCCCGCTGAGGCGTGCTGCTCCACCAGGGTCGTCAGCGGGGTCTCGGGCACAGTCCCGCTGTGACTGTCTTTGCCTTTATCCCAGCCAGTAGCTGCACCATGGGGAGGTTTGGGGTGGAAGGGAAAAGGGGGTTCTAGGCCTCCTACAATCTCTACAGCTCATCTTCCCAAACCAGGACAAATAAACATATACTGAAAAAAGAAACAATCAAACAAAAAAACTTGAGTATGCGGCTTCAAGGCCCCTTTTCCACCAGCTATCACCCAGGTCCTGCCTGTCTAGGGGTCTTGGGACCCCCAGATTTCAGCCCACACTAGCATGTGCGTGGCTCTGCCTGCCTCCTCCTCTGTCTGGGGTTCTCTGAGCACACAGACGGGGCTGGGCACTGCTGGCCTCTGTCTCTCTCACAGCAGAACTCAGCGCAGAACCCCCTCACCCCCTCCCCACCCCTGCCCCCACACTTGGAGGACGCCAGTGAGTGTGGGCAGAATTTAATTGCCTGACAAGTTCAGATTCGCATCTTTGATCTGCAAGCCTGGCAGTGCTGGGTAGTGGAGAGAACTCAGAGTTCTGGCACAGACAGGCGGACCTGGGCTTGAATCCCGGCTTTGTCACTTACACCGTGTGACCTTGGACAGTTTCTTCACTCCCCTGAGCCAGGGTGTCTTTGTCTGGGAAATGGGGACAGATGTACCTAACTCACAAGAGACCGCGTGAGGGGTGATTACACAACGTGCATAAACAGTCCAGCCTGCTGGCCGTAAGTCTTTCTCTAGGGGATTAGCCGGGCCCAGCCATGAGTGCTTCAGTCTTGATTCGGGCCCCAGGATTTCTATGTTAGTGGCATAGTAAGCACTTTATGCATAACCCTAGTCCTCACAACCGTCCATTGAGGAAAGCAACATCATCATTATCGACAACACCTTTTTATAGCCCAGGAAACTGAGGCACAGGGAGGTTATGAGGCTTGGCCAAGGTCACACAGCTGGTAAGTGGCAGCAGAGCTGTGGTTTGCATCAAGGCCTATGGGCGTTGGTGCCGTCCTGCTAGTAACCCCACTTTTGCTTTGAGTTCACTGTGTCTAAGAGAGGTAACCGACAAAGGGACATTCTTTGATGCGACCAAAAATGTTTGCCGAGTTCCCACTAAAGAATTAGGAGAAGGGGGCTCAGCTCCACCATAGGGTCATCGGGAATGGCTCTGGCCCCGGGCCTGCTGGGGGAGCTTGGCTGAGATCTGGCAGAGGCAGCCCTGCCCATCACGTCTTCCTCCGCAGCCCGCTCGCCTGCCAGGGTGTTTGAACAATGATTAACTGCAGCGGACAGGCCGGTGCAGGCCGGGGCGGGCATGGCAGGTGAGCTCACCCTTTGCACAACCGCTGCCACACCCGCCTGCCCGGCTCAGGGGCAACTGGGGCGGCAGGAACAGGCAGGATCCCGGAAGCTGGGGAAATGGCCCTGGGAAGGACAAGGGACACTCCGGCCCAATGTGAAGGCCTCATCGCCACCACATTCTGGCCCCAACTTGCAGAGCCTCATCTGGGGGCTCTTTCCTGTGTGAGCCCCAGGCGCAGACTCCAGTCTCAGTGCTCAGTGGGACCAAGCTCACTCAAGATTTTCCACAAACCGTGTTCCCCGAGCCTGCCCTCTCTGCTTCAGCCACAGAACAGCACACCCCACCTTGGACTGAAAGAGGCAGGAGCGCAGCCTCGGGACCCCCCACCCAAGCTGCAGAGAGCTTGCTTTTCGTCTCCCTCCCTCCCTGGCCCTTGCTAGTGCAGGGGAAGGAGGCACATGCGGAGCCCAGGCAGGGGTGACCCCCCACACACACCAGCCCCCAGGGCCGTGTCCCCAGGGGCACCCCAGTTCCTGGAGTGGTGGTGGTAGTGAACTCACATTCAGACCAGGCCAAACCGGCCCCACACCCTCACACTCCAGCCTTGCCCGAGGCCGGGCCTCTACTTGTTTGTTGAATGAAGCACTAAAGTCCTTTGTCCTAAATAAACTCTGCGCCCATTTCAGGCCTGGCTTCACTGCTCCAGAAGCCTGGAGAAGGTTAGGGTGTGTGGGGGGAGGGGTGGGGGGGGCAGTGAAAGATAATTTTCTCTGAAGGTGGGAAAGGGGTGGAGGGTGTCCCAGACAGGGCTGACCCTCTTCCTGACCCCACTACCATTCCTCAGTATTGCAGAAAGGATAATACCTGCTGGCCTGTGAGCAGTCTTAGCTGATCTGAGGGGTCCGTCAGCCTTGCTGCAGTCCCTGTGGTCCCCCAGGAGTCTAAGGAAGGGCTGGGCCTGACTGGGCTGCCTGGCCCCTCCTCACAACCAAGGAACATTGTGACCCCAAGGCTTCCCAAAGCGTTCTCAGTAATAAACAAAGGGTGGGCTCCTCCTAACCGACAAGTTGGGCCCTGTTTTTGTCCCAGTTTCACCTGCGCAGCCTCAGGGAAGCCAAGCTCCATGTACTTGGGGCACCACATCCTGTTTATTTCCTCCTAGGAACCCCCACCCCCACCCCCGCCCACCAACCTGGACTAAGAAGGCCTGGGTCTCATCCTCTCAGGACCATGTGAGACCCCTGCCCCGGCCCCACCCAGGTGCATGAAGAGAACTGAATATACTCACTGTCCTCAGGAGAGAGACCTCATGGGGGAGACAAGCACGTGAACAAATGGCAGAGGACAGGAGAGAAGTTCCAGGATGAAGGCCTGTCCCAGCTGCTGTGATGATGAGCTCTGACTTCTGACACCAGGCCCTGTTCTGAGCAGGTCACATGTATTTACTTATTTTTATCACATGGGCTTCACAGCGAGATATGAAGCAGATGATTTCATGACGCCCATTACAGCCAATGAAGGGATGTGAGAAGCAGGACCGGGATTCAAACCTGGGCACCTGTGCTCGTAGCCACCACTTAACCGCCACGCTGGCTGCTTTGCTGCAGTAGAAATGAGAAAGGGGGTCAGGAGCAGCCGTTTCAGACCAGCTGGGCCTGAGGTGTGAACGGGAGTTTGTCACAGAAGCAGCACGGAGCAGCTGAGACAGAGCACACAGGATCCTCAAAGCTGGGCGCCATTAACGGTGAGCACCCCAGGAAGAAGATGGGAACAGGGGTTTCTGTACCCCCAACCCCTGCACGATTTGAATCTCCTATATTCACGTATTACAGGGGAAATTGAAACACACACATAAACACAAAGCCCATCAAAAAGCAGCAGTCTGACACAGGAGTTGGCAAACTCATCCTGTAAAGGGCCAGATGGTAAATATTTGAGGCTTTGCAGGCCATACATTTTCTGTCACAACTACTCAATTCTGCCACTGGAGCCCAAAGCCCCAACACATGGGAGGGGCTGTGTGCCAATAAAACTTTATTTATGGACATTGAAATGTCACATAATTTTCAAAATATTATTCTTTAAAATGTTTCAACCACTTTAAAATGTAAAAAAAAAAAAAAAAGTGTTTTTAGCTCGCAGACTATACAAAAACAGGCATGGGGAGTGATTTGGCCAGGAGCCACAGTTTGCTGGCTGCTGCCACAAAGGCTCAGATAGGTGAAGAGTGTTATGGGGACTTCAGAGAAACAGTTACAAAGATTGGCTGGCATCCAGGAGCACCAGGAGTGAGGAGCAGGACTAGGCCAAGACTGGAGGGGGTTGGGGTCACCCTCAAGGGGCCTTCAGGACCCTGAGAGTTGTTGTTGCCACTGCAGGGTCAGCCTCAGGCTCAAGTTCCAGCATCACCAGGTCCTGGCTATGAGACCCAGACGTGTTTCTCTGAGCTTCAGTGGCTTCAGCTACAAAATATGATATTGACATCGACCTTGAAAGTCCTATGAAAGGGGCAAGTTGTGTGTGTGTGGGGGGGCTTGCATGATGGAGGGGGAGGCTTAATTATTCATTCAGTTGTTTCGATTATTCTCAAGATTTTATGCAGGAACCTGCTCAGATACAAGTTTTGGAAACATCTCCCTGGGGACCATGTGGAGAATGGGCCGGCATCTGAGCGAACACCTTCCATTGGCTGCCTGATCCACCTTCCACCCTTTTCCTGCTGCCCTGCCCCTGGGAAGACCAACCTGTGTGGACAGCATCAATGGGTTCCTCTGCCCTCCCACTGCTAGATAGACTCAGCCAATGGGGAGCCCCAGCAGGAAGTGGGGAGAAAGAGGAGAGTGAAGTTCAAGGCATTACCTCCTGCTCCCTCCCTGCAGGGTGTCCCCAAGCTGGCTGTATCCCTTAGGGAAAGCCACAGCACAGCCGGCTCACCTCAGTAGTTCTAGGGGTCTTTCTACACCTTGCCCACATCTTCGTAAACTATCTTCTCAGCTTATCCTCACTTGAGTGTGCCTGGCTGATTGATTCAAAAAGTGTGAGACGGGAGAGAGACATAAGTTAGGAGACCATTGTTGTTATCTTCATAAAGCAAACCAGGAGAGTTCCAGGAAAGGAAGAGCTGGAACTGAGACGTGTTTAGAAGCCAACACATGGAATGAGGAGCAGGAAGGAGGAAACTCTGAGATGCATTACATCTCTGGCTTGGGTAACTGGAGGATGGAGGTTCTGAGAGAGGATACCCAGGGGCAGAGGCGCGTATTTGGAATAGAAATGATGGGTTTAGGTGGTGCCTGTAGGACATCCAAGTGGCTAATGCACAAGCATACCCCAGCCTTCCTACAGCCCTGATTTTCTACCTGACCCTTAGCTATGACCCACCCACTTGTCTCAGATTACCCATGATGTCACGAATGGCCTGGGAGTCTTGGAGCGCAGTCAAGGTATTAGTGGTTGCTGGTCTTTTCCTTCCCCTTCAGATGCAGGAAGAAGGCTCTCATATGCATGAACTTGGCCTAGAAGAGTGATGGAAGGATGCTAGGGCCCCCAGGAGAGGTCCGAAAAGACCCCATCCCCAGAGGAGCCATGGGTTAAATACAGCCAGAGTAGCCAACCAATGACGTTGACACTGACAATAGATGCTTTGGCCCATCAGTCAAGGAAGCTGGACACAATGAGGTACCTCCATTTGGGGGTCATTTGGTTTAAATCTTCCTTTTGACCACCCATCTCTTGTGGCTTGCAGGAGGCAGGAGGTCAGATCCAGGCTTCCCTCCAGAATGGGCCCTGGTACTGGAGCAAAAGCACCTGTTGGGGACGGGGGAGGAATAACCCCTTGAGACCTCTCCAGGGCTCCATCTCTTTCATAACTGGACTACCTTCTGATTATTACATTGTCCTTCCAAAAACAAACACTTGATTGAATATTTCTCAGTTGAGTCACAGTTCAGTTTGCCTTCTCCCAGGAAATCAAACACTCTGGTTTTACCTCTTCACGATTCTGACCACAGTCATTTTTACCCTCCCCTGGGACTGGCATCCAGGCTTCTTTGCTCTCTCTCACCCACGGACCACCGGGCAGTTCAAGTCTTACCTTATATTCACGG